TTTATGAGAGTCTGTTTTAAATATCGGCTATTCACCTTCAAGAAAAATCATGCTATATAACATTCAGTGATGTTAACAAACAAAACAATATTTGAAAATATCTACAAATTTGATGACTGTCATATTCGCAGTTGTGTTCACTATGATGAATCACTGGATCTTCTTTCTCTGGTTGTTATTGTAGCGCAGCATAACAGAAGCTTCAACAGTTTCCTCAAGTGCATTCTCCTGTAGATGGGTGTAAAAATGATTCATGAGTCTGAACACTTGTTCAGCCGAAGCAGAACTTGGCTGCACTAGAAGTAGCTTCCGGACAACAGCAGACTAATTGGGAAGGGTGCGTGCATGCCTCACCCACCACTGTACCTTCTCCTCTTCTTCCTAAATAACTGTGCCGTCAGCAGCCGCTAGGTAACGTGGAAGCTCGTATAGTTCAATAGTTGCATCATTATTGAGGAAACTGAACTTTCGGAGCTCTGCCAAAGATGTGGCATTCGGGTGGAGGTTTTGGACTTGGACTGGGCAGCATAACCTTGTACTTTTAAAAGCACAGACAAGGTCATGAAACTCTAGGCTGAACTTCTGTTGGAAGAAACGAAGCCCAGGACTTATGCACTGCTTTGTCCTTGTCACAAGCTGATTGCATAAAGCCAAGTTTCCATTGGCTTGCCGGCTGGCCACTCCCTCAAGATTAGGATATGCATCAACTGCCACCGAGTGTGACACACTAGCTAGGCGCTCATAGCAACTGAATATAAGAGGCCCATCCCTTTCTAGATAGTAGGTAGCTGTGACAAAGTGTGAGTTGCCATCAATCAGTGCTGCTAGCTCCAACTCGAGTTCTTTAGTATCAGATGCATCATTAAAGATGTCCAAGAGTTGTCCAGTTGTAGCAGGAGCAAGATGGTTGTTCTCATTCTGCCTTAAAAAGGGTTCCACATCCCCAAAGTACTCTAGTACTTGTTTCATAACTTCCCACTTGCTCCACCATCTTGTTGCGCTATATATTTTCATAGCTGTTCCGGTTCTAGTCTTCCAAGCTAGCCATACTGCAGCACTGTGGGAGAACATGGATACCCATAATTGGGAAAATTGGTCTAAGACACGGAACTCAAAATGTTTTCCAACGTTGTCGATGGTGTGAGAGAAACACGTAATGTCTAGCAGCTCTTAGCCAGATGGATAGATAGATAGATAGATAGATAGTTTATTATCAAATAAAATACATTGTAGCCATAGGCTGAATTGCGTGCTTTTCACAATCATTGATTATATAAGACTATATAAGACTACCTATTACAAAAATGCTAAGACCTAAATAAAATTACTAATATAACTAATATAGATAATACATAGCAGTGGAATAGGTAAAAATCTAGGTTAGCACACGTGCACATAGCCAGGATAAATGAAATTTGAAATGGTCAGTGCCAAAGCGCGGCATGTTAAAAACGCGCCGGTGTATTGTAAGCTGAAAAAAACCTATCTGGCAGCAAATTATATAATTTGTGAGATGGATTTGAGACAGACAAAAACAGATCCATAAATAATTTCATGCATCTGTCATAGAGCAAAGCTAAACTGTGCCTGTCTGAAGAGTCATGGTATGACAGTTCTGGTGAAATGATGGATAATGCGCGTCTTTAGACCCTTTCAATGTCATCACTAAGATACGCAGGTAACGCATGATGGAATATTTGTGTGCAGTGTTTCAGAACAGGACGTATAGTTGTACATTCAAAAACTCATTAATAATTCATAAGCCCATTAACCTATTAAATGGTAGATAATACATCACGTGCAGTGACTTTATATCGATAAACCTCATCCTTATTAGTATGCAGTGTTTTATCAGATATAAAGACACTGCACGTGACTTATGAATATTAATTAATCATCAACCCAGAAACTGACACAACAAATGGTGGGAACATATTTAATGTTCTTTCAACAAATTTCACACAGTAAATTTACTTTTGCACCAAATTAATAGTACAGTTGTGAAATACACATCTGGAAAAATTCTCTATTCTATTAGTACAGTAATCTGGTAAAGGCATATTAGACAATACATCATCTGAAACTTCGAATTCAAGATCAGTTGGCAGAAGTGACTCCAACTCGTTTTCGCTAACCTCTGCGTTTGACCTTTTGCCAGTAGTCTCCCTATTTTCAGGGGGGCCTAAAATCTTGCTAACCTGGTGTTGTTGC